GAACCTGCTGCCTTCAGACTGTTAACATTCTACCAGACTATATGGCATCATTTCCCAGAAAACAGTACTACTTTCTGCTTTTCTATATTACACTGTAAAGAGGACTCAATGAGAATGTTTAGGATAACCAGGCTAACCTAACTGCCTGTGGGGAGAAGTAGATATACACTAATGGCTTAGTGTAAAGAAGAAGAAATTGCTATTGTGAATAACCAAGGACCCCAAGGCAATACTTCAGTATTGGAATCACCCTGTAATTCCTCCAAACTTAATATACACAGCAATATATTCACTTCACCATCACACATTACAGGATTGATGCAATATTTATTAACAACTCTAAATGAATTTCAATTTTTAAACTGCAACAGTAAAAACAGTATTTATACTCACACGAAAACACTTTGGATTCACATCTATGGTAGGAGGCACAGCTGTGATTGGCCATGCTGGATCAACTGCATTTACACGTACATCTACTGCATGCAGCTTCTCTGGTGGGAACACTTTCTTCCAAGTTTTACGTAATGTGAACATCTGGGACCATGTTTCCTTATCCACCTACAAGAAGGAAGCACAATACATGAATCAGTGCCATAATATATGATATTTTCTTGATCACATCTACAATACTTGGCAGCAAGAATTATTAAAATGATGCATACCTCATGCTTTACATGACCAACAACCTCATTTAACAATTAGATACAACTTTAACTTAAATTAATTTTCCTTACAATAAAATTTTTCCCTTGTCACCAACTGACATGACCATGCTCACAAAAGGAAACAAATATTGATGTCTGCGGTAGCTAGATATCATATCCTCTGTAACAAGCTATTTCTAACATTAAGAGCAGCGCAACAGAATGCATCCAAGTTTTTTACCATCATGAACAGCTTTGTGCTCTTTGCATATGATGGCTATTTTTATCAGAGTCAATAATGAAACACAGAGAGATAACACTTCTGAATTGCAGAATTTTCGGCAAAATATATATATATATATACTTGAAATTGTAAGCTATCAAGGTCTCAAAACCTGGAGCTGGATAACATTACGGTAACAAAACAAAGTTCATGAATGGCCAGATTATTCATCAAAATCACACATCAGACAGACAAAAGTAAATCAGACTCAGCATTTCTATACACATTTACTCTCATGTATATCAGCTGTTACTCGGGGCATGCGGTAGCATAGTTGTGTTGTATATGGTGACACCTGATATAGATTATTGTATAAGGCAT